TGTATGTATGTATGTATGTATAAGGCGCGAGCCAAAGGTCTGATCGAGGGATCAACGTATGTGTATTTGCAATGGGATCACTCGACCCGCCAGCACATCAAGGCAGCGGCCCAGCCATTGGAGCATCAGGAGGCGGTGCTGTCAGTCAAGACGCTGAAGTATCTTTCGATGTATCCGAATGTCGTGGGGCGCTTCCACGCCCTGCGCAAAATGACGTCGGAGAGCATGGGCGCGGACATCATCCCCTTCTCCCTCGTGGCCCAGAACCGCACGCAGGAGGCCCATCAGATGTTCACCCTTATGGGCCGGCTCTCCCGCAATTCGATCTGGCACTTAATCGGCGGGACGGCTCGTCCCGCCAAACCGGGACGGTCACCGCTTGCCAAGCATCTGGACCGTCTCATTCAGGCGTTGTGAGTGCCCAGGCGCATGCAGTACAGGGGATGGTTTTAGGTAATTCCTCAAATCATTGTTATGCGAACACAACGGTGCACTCGATCCTTTGGGCGGCTGCCATCTCCCCGCAAGGTATCGCATGCGCAGACTACGGCCTGAGCCGCTTTTTGAGATGGCTTGCAAGGCCGCTCCTGCCGCATGAAACTAGTCGTAGAGCTGTTAGGTTGTGGGATCATCGAGCATGGTCAAAGTTGGTGCACTCCTGGCAGGAGCCAGATAGACAGCATGACGTTGGCGAATTTTTGCAGTTCATTGCACCACGGATTGCAGTTGAGCATGCCTCTGATCGGTGGCATGCCCGCCAGACCATTGCCTCTGGCGCCGCCCAGGTAATGGATCAGGGAACTCTGTGGCCATTGACCGTGACAACGCCGCTGGTTGCTCCGCAGCATCCCGACAGCCCAGCCACCCCCACCCTAAGCATACCCATAAGCCTCCAGAAATTAATCATTCAGTGGAGAAATCAGGCATCCCGCCATGCCATGCTGTCTGAGCCTGATTGGCTGCCCGTGCAAGTGAGCCGCTTCGATGCGCAGGGCCGCAAAGTGTACGCACCCGTGCAGGTTAGTGCAGCTGTCTATATCCCTAGTTTCGTGGGGGACACACTGCAAACTACTTCCACCCGGTACCAGCTAGCGGCAACCATTTTTCATCTCGGCGACTCACTGCTCCATGGGCATTACCGGGCAGCCCTGTACGAGAGTGGGCGAATTGTCAGCATTACGGATGACAATGTGCGAGCACAACCTGCCTCTGAAGCTGACGTGAGAATGGTACAGCAGAACTCCTACATTTTCATGCTTCGCAAGTGCTGACATTGTTTTTGGGCTCTCCAGGAGCATGCCATTCCTCTATGAGCTTTGTTTCATACCATGTGTTGTACATTCATGTATTTTATCTTGTTATAGAGTGTTACATAAACCTGAACAGCTCTGAGGATGCAACCTTTTGCTGTGGCCCTTCGGGGCGATTTTAAAGCTCCTTGGGATGCACAGGCCCTTTGCTCATGGGCGGACACGCCACCAGGGCCTGTTGTCTCTCTAATCCGTGTCATCGCATGTCTATTCCAGGCTTTTGATATGATCATGCTCTATTCATATACTTACCATCTTTCTGATATTCCAAGGAAGCAGTAGGTGTGAAGAGGGCACTAACAAAGTGGGCAGCCAACCGTGCTGCCAGCTTGAGGCTGCCATCGCAACGCGAGAGGACTTCTTCTTGCGGCGAGTGTGAGTGAGTGTGAGTATGTATGTATGTATGTATGTATGTATGTATATATATATGTGTGTGTGTATATATATATATATGTATAGAGAGGTAGGCGCTGATCCATCAGGCGGGCCAGTGGCTTCGGGCTGGACAGCACTTGGACACCAGCCGTCAGCGGAGTCCGCAAGGATCTCCGGATGTCGTGGCTGCAAACGTTGCCATCGGTGCTTTTGGTGAACGATGGCAAGCAGCTGCCCACATTTTTGCGAAGCTCTGGAGCTGGAATGTGGCCGACCGGGTGTCTTTCAACACCCTTATCCGCTCTTGCAGAGACCCAAAAACCTCCTGGAGCTGGGCCTGGGCTTTGCGACTCTTGGAGCAATCCCGCGCGGTCCGGTCACGGGACGTTGTCTCCTACAGCTCTGCACTCCATGCCAGTGCTCGCAGTGCCCGCAGTGCCAGCAAGGATTGGAGGATGGGAGTCATGCTACTGCGAGACTTGGAGGTGGAGCTTCTGCAGCCCGACGTTGTCCTCTGGTCGGCAGCGGTCAACTCGCAAGCACGCTCGGCGTCCTGGTCGACGGCTTTGTTCTTGTTGGAGAGGCTGGCGCTGGGCAAGAGCGGAGGGTGCAAAAGCCAAGCTAAGCCTTCCAGACTCTCGAAGTTCGTCCTGAGAGGTTGCCAGCTCACAGCGCCCAGCCCAACATGCAGACTTTCGGGGCAGCCATGGCTGCTTTCGACACAGGTGATTGCTGGAGTTGGGCTCTCTCCCTGATGGAGGACAGAAGCCTCGTGTGCAATCCAGGCATCTTTGACGAGCGTTCACTCCCCGCATGTGTCTGTTAGAGTGGATGAGTCAGAGATTGGCTCAGTCTAAACAGGTTCACCACACACTATGTTTGCCAGACGCTGCCAGAGTCTGGTTTATGCAGAGGGTTTCGTGAAAGCTACTCGGGCTACATAAGCCCGAGCTGAACGAGAGTTGAAGATCCCGAAAGGATCTGCAGGAGATGCGGCTTGACCCCAACACCTTGATCTACAATGCTGCAATAACTGCATGTGTCTCGGTGCGATGCATTCTGGCATCGGTGTACGGATGGTAGTTTTGGGGACCCTAGTTTGTTGCACCTGAGGTGAGAAAGGCCAAGAGTGGCAGATGTCCTTGGCTCTGTACTCGGCTGACAGAGATGGGAAGCCCGACTTGATTTCTTGCAACGCTGCAGCTCGGCGAATCCCCGCTCCTCGGAGTCCTCGGCCTGCTTTTAACTTTTGACATCTCCGAGGTTCTCAGCGCCTTAGCTCAAGGCAACTGGCAGCTGGCACTAGCCTTCTTCTCAGAACTCGGCCAAGAGCGGAAACTGGATATCTTCAGCTTCGGGGCAGCTCTTTCTGCATGTGACCGAGCCTGCTTGTGGGAGCATGCGCTGTCAATACTGGCCGAGCTGCCGGCCAGGAAGTTGCGCGCCAACACCGTGACCTGCAACACTGCCATCAGCACTTGTGCAAAGGCTGGCCGTTGGCAAGTCGCTCTGCAGCTGCTCGCCGACACGATTGCCGGCACTCTGGACGTGATATCGTTCAATTCTGCCCTGGCTGCAAGCGCGAGGGCGGAAGAGTGGCGCCCGGCTCTGCACCTCCTCTCTGAGCTCCCAGCACGCCGGTTGCAGGCAACCTCGAGTAGCTGTAACTCTGCCATCATGGCCTGTGTCGGAAGCTGGAGATGGGCACTGGGAGTCCTCAGCTCTGTGCCTTCGGGCCCGGACAAGGTATCCTTCGATGCGGCACTCCGGGCATGCGAGGCCCAGGCTGGCAGATGGAAAGAGACCCTTCGACTGCTGAGTGACTTTCGGGCGGCGAGCCATCAGCCAGAGGCCACCCGTCCTGTGCATCTGCAGCCACGCAAGAGTGAAGGGATGTTTTTTTCAGCCGAACCAAAAGTTTCAGCTTGACTCTGCCGCCAGCTCAGGTCATCACATTCAGCACCGGGATTAGCGCAAGCCAAGCTGCCAGCCAGCTGCTCGACTACTCTCATTCACGTAACACCCACACAACACTCCTGCAGTGAAACGTTCAGCCCTCCTCACCTTTGCGATGCCTGCTCCCCCAGATGCTGAACTTGTATGCCTCCGGAGCTTGGATGCTCAGCTCTCGAATCCAACCCAAATCCTGACATCTCGCCAAAGTGTGATCCTAGGGGCCCACCCCAGATACCACGACAAGAAACACCTACGTCTGTCTGTCTCTGTCTCTGTCTCTGTCTCTGTCTCTGTCTCTGTGTGTGTGTGTGTGTGTGTGTGTGGCTCTCTCTCTCTCTCTCCCTCTCTTGATTGTTTTCTGCCAGCGGCAGCCTAAAGGAAAACGGTAGGAGCCCGGGCCCGGGGCCGGGTCCACGGCGCGAAATCGACGGAAGGTGGCAGGAGGTGTTCCAACTCTTGGCAGCGCTGCGGGCAGCGGAGCTCCGCCCGAGCCGCCCGGTCCAAGCCTGGAGCTTTTCTTGTATCCTGCCCGGTACGGCGATCTTGTCAGCTCAATGTCCGCCTTACGTTTGAGTTTGAGCAGTCCACATTCGGCCAGTGCCGTAGCCTGTAGAAGGCAAGATGTTGCAAGGCCGCTCGCACACTGTGCCAATACATGCCATTCAGTGCCATGCTTTTCTCTACGTGACGTAGCGTGTTCTGCATCGGTGCAGGCATTGTGACAGCAGCTGCTGCTGTGCTCGCTGCAACATTTGGCCAACGTGGGCTTGAGGAGGGACGTGTGCAATCTTCCCCCTCCCACCCAGCAATGCACAAAGGGGAGCGACAGATTGTCAGATATGACGCACGGACTGGCGGAGAGGTAACATATGCAAGCTGTTCACGCGATTGTTTGTGGAGAGGTGAAGCGGTGGCTGCGTCATCTGCAGCATCGTGGAATTTCTGGTCTGGCTGGAATCCGAAGCTGTTAGCCAACGGCAGCCACTGTGGTGGAGTCTTCTGGCAGCGCCGAGGGCTGCGACTTTGCATGAACTACCTCGTCTGATCGTCAGTATCGTTTCGTGGCGTGGGATCATGAGATGCTCGAACTGGCATCTGGCAGTTTTGTCTTAATTCTGCTGTACGCATACTTTCTTTTCAATCCTGGACGGCCGGGCCACGCCGGGCCATTTTAAGTCAGCACGTGCGCGACCGCGATGGATCGCAACGGGCTTTTGACGAACCTCCAAGAAGGTTCGCACAAAGTATTCCCAACAGCACTCCTGTAGCCGACATGAAGCTTGGAGTTTGCTCGAGCCGATGGTGATTGAAAAGCGGTTCTGCTTTCTCAGTTCTCACATATTGGGATTGCAGCCATGATTTCGGTCCTGGCCGGCTAAGAGATGTGACAGATGGTGACACAGTTCTTCGAAAACTGGCATTCACAGTGTTTCAGGACATTCTGCTTGGAGGCTTTACTGGAAGCTTTCCTTCAAGACCACCGGTCACTGGTCACCTCTCCATCGCTGTTTGCGCACCCGCGCTACTGACGCCCGCGAGCAAACAGTCACGCCGAAATCTCTCCGTCACAGTATCCTAGGACTATGTTACTATATTGTGTCGACAAGATCACAAGGGCCACGGTGATAATGTAGCAAAACTAAAACTAGCACTCGCTCGAGAACGAGCTTCACCCCCTCTCTTGCCACACTCCCTTCAACACGATCCAGAGCCGATGGAGAGGGTCCCGCGAGGCGGCGTCGCCGAGGTCGCTCGCAGCCCCTGGCGCCTGGCGCTGCATCTTTTCGAGCGTGGAGCGCCAGCGGACACCGCCATCTGCAATGCAGCCACCTGGAGTCAAGAGTCTCTGTTGAGAGGGCCAGGTCTGAGCTGCAACGAGCTGTGTAGATGACTTATGATGACTTGTAGATTGTAGATGACTGGCCAATCAACCATGTGCCGTGTACCTGTTGGGAAGCAGAAGCTACAAGCAACGAGCGCGAGGTGATGACTGCATGTGGAACTGGGGAGCAGTGGCAGCGTGCCTTGGGCTTCCTGTGCATGATTGACGCCCTGCGCTTGAGGAAGACTATAGTCAGCTTCAATGCCGCCTTGCGGGCTTGTGGCAAATGTGCCAAGTGGCAGCATGCGCTGCACATTTTCCGGTCCGTCGGCGACAGCCAACTGCAAGGTGACAGTGTGTCTTACCGTGCGATCATCAATCCATGCTCGCAGGAGTGGAACCAGGCTTTGCTGCTTCTACAGGAAGGCAGGGAGACAATACTCGCCACGGATGTGAGCTCTTATGGGGCAGTAATTTCTGCCTGCCAAGCCGCAAGCTGCTGGAAAGAAGCGCTGAGCGTTTTTGAATCTCTGGCAGAAGCGGGCGTGGAGGCAGACGCAAGAAGCTTCACATCTGCGATCACCTCGTCGATCAGAGGTGAGGATTGGCAAGGTGCAGTTGCGAGATTCTCAGACATGCTGAAGCAAAGCCTCGAGACTGACAGTATTGTTCAGAATGCCGGGCTTCGGGCCAGGGGTTGGTTGCTCTGGCAGAGTGCCATCCAACAGCTGGCCCTGCTGGTGCAGGCTGGCCTCCGACCCGATGTGGCCTCTTACAACACAGTTCTCAGTGCTTGCGAAGGGCAGTGGCGAAGGTCTCTTGCGCTGGCAACTCAGATGGAGCGCAAAGCAATGAAGTCGACCGTGGTTACGATGGGCGTGCTACTTTCAGGCAAGAATGAGCTAAGCGAAACCTGGAGCAGGCCATTGCAGTTGCTAGCCGCTTGGTACCTCAGGTCGGCAGAGACAAGTGTGGTCTCTCACACCAACCTGCTGGCGGGGATGGCTGACAGTTGGCACAACGCTGTGGCGTACTTCGCTGCTTTGCAAGCGCGAGGGGTCATCAAGGTGCTTCCCATGGAAACGGCTGCTGCACACGCTTTCCGAACCGGAGGACGCTGGCAGCAAGTCGTGAATGTTGCAGCCCAGGCCACTGGAGTAGCTGATCTCGTCATGAGGCACGTGGTGCTGGACTCCCAGGTCTCAGCTCTGCAGTGGCGGAGCGGGGTCCAGGTCTATGCGTCGCTGGCGCTGCGCAACCTGCAGCCCAACCTTCTCACAGCGAATCTGGCCCTGTCTGCGTGTCAGTGGAGACTAGCCTCGGCACTGCTCCGGAACCTTGGGTTGTCCGCATTGGAAACAAATGTGGTATCCTGCAGCACGGCCATTGCGGCTTGTGGTACAAGCAGCAGATGGCAATTTGTGTCGATGTTGCTGGAACGGCTTGAAGAACGACGCTTGGAAACCAATACCATTGCGTGTAACTCTGCTGTTTCTGCCTTGGGAAAATCGATGCACTGGCAGTTAGCCTCCTGGGTGCTGTCAGATGCCCGCGTCCTCGGAGATGAGATCGGCTACGATGCCCTTGTGCTTGCCTGCAGTCAGGCTGAAAACTCCTTGCAGTGTGGAAAAGGGCGTGAGCTTCAATTGTTTGTAAGGCTCTTGCGACACCTTGCGAAGCACAGCTGTTCGGACGTTCTTCGCAAGTTTTTCTTCCCCGGAAGAATTAGCACCAGCCGCAAAGGACTTGTACTGCAGCATCGAGGTTCTTGAGGTTTTAAAATGTTTTAAACGCATGAATGCCGCTCGTGAATGCCGCTCGTGTTTGTCCTGCAGAGATTGGCACCCTACTCGGGAGGCTTTCGGCTAGCCTCAGCCAGACGACGTGATGTGGCAGCACGGTTGCAAAGTCTGTAGAGTACGTTCCTATGTTTCCCAAGGTTTGCAACAGGTTGGAGATTCTCTCCATGCGTGTATGAGAGAGGGTACTCCTGGTTTGCATGCTGTTTGTTCTTGACGATTGTAGTCCGAAGCTTCAATTTAATTGTCGACCGGTGGGTGCACCCAAATCCAACACTGCGCGCTTCCACGGCTGATTCATTCGAGGTCGTACCACTCACGTGCCTTGCTCGCCAGCACCGCGGGCCCAAACATGCAATGCGATGCGGAGGCTCTTCCAGCAGACTGTATGAAGAAAGACTGGCAAAGCCGGAAATGGGGCTGTGAAACTTGAGCAGAATGATTCGGGGCTATTCAGCCGCAAAGCTCGCAATCCGACAGAGTGGCTTCCACGAGGCTTCTCAGTCAATTTGCCGTGAGCTGGGGGCCCCAGGTTCCTTGAAGTTACTCTTAGGCAGCTTATGTGGCAGCAATGACACTTGGTGGTGAGAGAGCTGCGAACTCTAGGAGCTTCCTATCAGGTAGACATTTGACTTTGTGGGGGTGTTCAATCTTCCGTTGCTGGACCCTTCCACACGAGGACCAAATGAATTAGGGAGCAGGTTAAAGCCGGTTAAAGCGTGCTGCGGGGAATCTGGCCGGGAGAGCATTCATCAAGCCTGTGTCCAGGAAGAGAATTGTTGGGTTCAGGCTTCTCAATCGCAGCACAGCACATTGGGCCCACAAGCTTCGGAGGCTCCGAAGCAATTGCGAAGGGAAGGGGCATGCGGTGTGTAGAGTGGCTTGACATCCTGGCGTGGGTGTGAACCATTGAAATCGAGCACTTCTGATGTGAATCGGGGGGCAAAGCCGGCAATGAGGTGCTGAATTCAAGCACCCCAAACCCTGAACTCCAGGAGAAAAGCCCAAACCCAAGTAGGAGGGTGTGGCAAACTATGAAGCACTTGGTCTTGTTGGATCGGCAGATGGGCGCCTTCTCCGTTCACGTCTTGGCGTAGCCTCCGACGAAGACTTCAGAGTCAGGGATCAAGTTGGGATGGAGATGCTCTATCGAAGCGCTTCTGTCCTTGTTGGAGGTTCTGGAAAACAGTATAAGCATGTAGGCAGGTACTGTGCCTCCAGACGTTAGCCGTTAACCATGCTCCAAGCAGTTCGCCGCCTCTCTTTACACGCTGATCGTCATGCTGGCCACGATGTTGTTTGCCTGAACAACCTGCAGCAACCTTCTACATGGGATGTCCGGAAAGAATCCACTGCTACTTTCATAGGACACTAGAGAGAGAGACTCATAGTTCCTCGTAGTCCCTCTATCAGCAAGCAAGCAAGCAAGCAAGAGACTCATAGCTCGATCTAAGGAGCTGTGTTTCCTCACAGCTGAGCACATGCTACCGTATGAAAGATTTCTGATCATGCTTGAAGCCCATTGCTCGTTGCTGCACATGTGCATACGCCCTTAAGTGGTCCCGGACATCCCGGTAATGCTGAGTGGACGCGGTGGCAGCTCTGCCGCAGCAAGCTGAGCCACCTGATTCCCACGCCATGCCTGAGACATGCCATGGATCCTTACAGTACAGAGCTGCGAATAAACATCGATTCTCTTGCATCAAGCGGCATGAAGCACACTAAGCCTATGAGCCAGACAGCCAAGGGCAGTGCATTGCATCGGCCATACGAGGAAAAGAATCGTTTGAGATCCCTCTAATATTGTGAGAGACAGGACTCGTAGACTCGTAAGGATTCCATGTAGCATGCCCGGGCATGTTCGTCATGTTGCTGCCTTCGAGACCCGTGTGACGGCGGTTTTGCCCCACTGGTGTATTGCAGCGAAAGCTGCGACTTTAGAATTTCAATCGACAAGGATACAGCCCTGTATGCCGACAAATGGATCAAGATTACTTATTGACCTACTCCTTGACATGCCGAAGTCTGCTTCGATTCCTTGATAACGGCGTTAATGTTTCATGTTGTTTCAGCACCTGGCGCGTTCAAGAAGAGGTTAGGCTGCGCGTGTAACATCACCCAAGCATGGAAAGATGTCTTCTTCGCGGCTGCTTCAGATGTGCTCGAATCCTCCCAGGCAGTGGTGCCGCAAAGGTGACACCCTGCACAGAACTTCTATCATCGGTCTCCGCTCCCATCGGTTTTGGACATGGGTCCGACATGGTCCACACGGTCGTTTGAACAGATCCGACCCGTCCGAAAGCATGTCGGACCCTGACTTTTTGGTCAGACATGGTCCCTGTAGAACCATCACCCAGACATTTCTCCTGTCCGGACACTAGACTCTCAGTCGAACTGGACATCCTCCAGCGAAGAGTACCATCCCATAACTCCACGACCTCACCTAAACCTTCTTCAAGCAGCCCTTGGCCACAGGCAGAGTCGCCTATATACTAGTCGGGGTCTCTTAGAATTGGCGGGGGAAGCGGTTTAGGGTGTCCTGAAGACTAGTGCCTGGAGGGATGTCTCCAAACAGATGATCCTTCAGCTTTAAAGATGGCCACAGTGAACCGAGGGATGTCTTGTGAGAGCGTCTCTCAGCACGACCATAAAAAGTCATCCGAAGCCTGTGGAGCTGCAGTTGGGAAGCCCTGTCGTAGTCGCGGCATAGGGAAGCTATCCATGGCATCACTCTGCGCAATGGAGTCGCGGGAAAAAGGCAAGCGTCCCAGGAGGTTTGGGTCTCACAGGCTTACTGTCTTGCGCACAAAAACCAACCTATCACCAACTTGTTTGTGCCATCGTGCTGTTCCGCCAAGTCCCTGCATGAAGCATCATGCTCTGAAGCATGAGCCCTAGATTTGAAGGCTTTACTGCTTTATTGCTGTAAAGACCTCGCGCGCTTCTTTGCGAACCGGGGTGTGCCAGTTCAATCGCATATAGCATGCTCTTGAAGCTGCTTCCCTGTCAATGTGTAGTGTAGTTGCTGTTGGTGCGCATGACATAGTGATCACGAGGGCTCATTGCATTGACGGTGGTGCGTGGTGAGCATCGCCACAGTTTTTATCGACCTGCTGGCATGTATATACATCTATGCATGAAGTGGTTTGTTTGGTCATTCCGTGATGTTGCTCATTCCATAATGTGTCGATTCTGGTGGTGTGATTCTATCTTTCCGACATAAAGCGCATGGTTTCTTTTCCGGCCACTGCTTATCCATGTCCTCCCATGGTTATAGCCGACGCAGCGCGTCGGTCGAAGTAGCATAAACTAGGTTCTTTACGCTGCTGATTGCACCATAGACCCATATGGGCACTTTCATCTTCATCATGCCTTTCTATCTCACACTCCCAACCACGACCGGGTTCAGTCGAGGATTCTGTGCTAACTTCAATCGTCCCATTCCGTGCTGCAAGTCCCCGTGCTCGAGACAAGGCCTGTTCTTGGCCGTAAGGGTGTCTTGAGATTGTTCAGTATGTGCCTGCTGTCGCATCAATTCGACTAATCGCGGGATTTTGGAAAGACGGCCACGTGTGCGGGAACCTGCGCTGTGAATCAGCATCCGCCTGACCCCAACTCGTGCAACCGCAGGTAGCACGCATGCCCGACACAGCCCGAAGGGTTCGTTCGGGCCGGGTTTGGCCATACAGCATGACGGAAGTCTGCGAAGATCTCGCGTCGGACCAATGTCCGGTTCCATATGGTCAGTTTTACCGTTTTACCATTACTGTGGTGCTAGAAATGGATTCGAAGCATGAGGGGCATCATGACGAAGGGGTGTTGAGCATGCCACACGTTCTCGATCGTTCTCGTGGATGGGCACAGTGCCACGGGCAGCATGACTTGGAGCCTTTTGATCAGAGTGTGGGCTTTGGGCATATCGCACCGCACAGTGCGTTGGTACATGTGCAGCATTCGCAGGTGATGGGACTTAAGCAACGCTGTTACGATGTAGATCCCTTGGTCCCCACATAGAGAGCCCGAGCCCGAGCGAGATAGAGGAGGGAGAGAGAGCGGCGTCTAGAGTCTGGAGCCCTTTCGGGGGGGGGGGGGGGAGATACCCTTCCTTTAAGCCTGCAGCAAGCAAGAGAGATGGAGATGGGAGAAACACGAGGCAGTTCTACATCTGCGAGTCCTTGCCCGTGTCTCCATGCACCGCCAGGCGCAAGCTCGCCTTTGGAGGCAGCGCCTCCAGGGCTTCGCAGTACTGACGCAAACGCGAGCAGGCACTTACCTCGCCTGGATTGCCCGGGGTGTCAGGCAGGTACTCCCTGCATCGTCGGGGAATTTCAGGAAACTGGTTGTTAGCAGCTGGAGGCAGCTGGAGGTCCTTGCAAGTTGAGCGCCGGCCGTGCCGGCATTCAAACACCGGCCACTACATGAGGAAAGCCTCCAAGCAAAAACGTTTCCAGTCAGTTTTAACATGGGTAATTACCTGAAGCAGGACCCACATCACGTTTGTTGCCAGCACTCCCAGATAAACGGATCCATGCACGTATGCCCTGCCTTCCGAGCTTCGAAGCCGCCTTGGTGGGGATCTGCATTGCCGTTGTGGCTAGCGGCTATCAGCTTGGCGCATGCTATGTCACATGAAGTACCGTGCGCAAAGAATCAATCAAAGCACAGAGCGCCAGGAAGGACGGGCGCGGTTGCAGGCAGGTTTGACGTCGACAAGCCGATTCACGGGCTTATTTCATAGTTGTCTTACCCCTTTCCGAGCCCCGAGCTGCAGCGTCGGCTTTGTCCGGCGGAGTCCAGCATCCAACCAAAGAGAAACTGCGATCCTAAACCTCAACTTCGAACACTCCCGACTGGACCTCCAAACCCATGCAGCCTTACTTGCAGCACACGAGCGGCAAGAGTCCGACCTCTGGAGGGTCCGCATCGTAGAAGTTGCCCTAGCTTTCGGCCTGCCCAGTCGCCATGGCGATGCTGACGGCAGCGGCTTTGGCCGGGAGTGCTGTGTTCGGCCACACGGCTAGAAATTACGAGTAACAAAGGTGAAGGGAAGTTACCCGGCAACAGCAATCTTAGATGTCGTCGGGCAGTAGGATGGGTAGTGACGGTAGTTATAATGAGTACCAACCGTGGAGCAGCGGTTTACCACTGCCGCAACGTGGGCGACGACAGCAGATGCACGGCCAGACTTTCAATTGCTTCTTTAATATACCGGTCGAACCTGCGCCGCAAAAAGAGGCAGCAGAAGCCCACAGAGACCAACCCTGCTGAGTCGGTGCCCATGACAGTTGAGTTAAGATCTCGTTGCTGCAGCCCAGGCTACAACCGCGAGAATTTCCAGTTCGACAAGAAGCAAACTCTTGAGAGTTTCTTGGCTTAAGAAGTGTTGCTTAACATTTTGTTTGCTGCCAACGGTTGCTTGTAGATTCCCTCTCGTGCCAAGTGTGACAGTACAACTTACAACTTCAATGTCGTTCCACAAAGACCAGAACTATGCAGAAGGTGTACGCTAGGCTTGTCCTATGTCCTGTTGACTTTGCTGTTCGGCAGCTTCCTGCGAAGCAGAGGAGCTTCAATGTCGACGTCTTTACCGCTTCGCACAGATCGGGAGGGGTGTGAACAATTACGACGGCTCTCCAAGCCAAACGCAGAAACTAGTGTGTTGAACTGGCCTGCATTCTCAGGAGAGGGCCTGCGATGGGGCATGCAGCTGAAACGATTTCAGCTGTTCCGGGACGACGTCCGGGATCTGGTCAACCTCACGGTCGACAGAAGCTCGTATGCACTTCCTTCCTACGCATGTGTTGTTTCGTGTTTCGAAGTTATGTATACAGGAATGGACGTCTACCACCTCATCGGAGCCCTCTTCATGAAGTTCTGCATCATTGTATTCTGCAAGGGCCGGATCCAGGCGTCCGCCCCGCCCTTCGTGCTGCACCTTTTCCAACTATCCAATGCATGTGCCTTCCTGCCACTTAGCTGCAGTGCAGTGGCACCTTCAGTCGGAAGGCATTTGGATTTCAGTCAGTCTTATGTTAGGCAATGCTTTCCTACCTCGTTGGACATGCCAGAGCACAGATCAGCTGGTCAGGTACTTGCTGCTGGCCGTCTGGCTCAGCATGCACGCTTCGATTGCATCTCACAGCTTCGGTGTGAAGATGTTGCCAAGCTGCTCAGGGTTAAAAGAGTGCACTGGGAGACTGCGGCCAGACTCACGCCAAGTTCATGCGACAGGCGCTTAGGGGTGTGAGCTCCCCATTCATGGACTCCTGGACTCGAGTATTGAAGCCAAGCTTTGCTAGTAAGCCGGCAGAGTTCAAGCTAAGATGCCCTCAGCACTAAATGCCATAGAGCTTGAGGCTCACGCGCTTCGTGCGTTTGCCGATTCCCACGCAGAACCAGATCTTAACCCTCAAGGCGACCGGGCGGAAAGGAAGTTGAGGATTGTCTTGAGTTGACTTGTGCCACGAAGAAGCATGACGCCGGATGAACATGTCGTCGTTGGGTCGGGGACCAAGATCAATCAACCCTCAGCAAGTGTGCCTTTGCCCGTACCTGTTCTGCAGAGGGGTAATCCTTCGTATGATTACTGTCTACTGCTCTCACGGCGCTGTGTGCGGAGTTGAATGCTCTCCGGGGTTGCCCGTGACACTCTTTGAGTCTTTCTGTCAACTGTTTAATGCCTTGCTTACACACTGCACTACACATCCGGAAGACTGAATCGGAGTCCAGGTGACACTTGGGCCCAGTCCATCCTTGAAAGCCAAACCCCCGACTACATGTGTGCGCCACTTTTTGCGAATACCCATGCTGTGTTTCTAGGTTTTTGCTGAGAAGCATTAAACTCGTAAGAGAGAGCGAGGGAGGGAGAGAGAGAGAGAGAGAGCGAGACAGAGTACTGCTTCCCTGACTCCCTCGATAGTGTAAGCAGACCTTCACCGGGCAAAAGTCGCCTTTGTGGAGTGAGTGTTTTCCGCAAGTCCTCCGCACATGTCGGGGGCGCCGGATGGCGCGCGGGCAGGGGGGTCTCCCTCCTGCCCATAGCCCTGCCGAAAGAAAGAGACAGAGAGAGAGCGAGAAAAAAAGAAGCACCCACTCGGTGCAGCGCATGGCCTAGGAAATCCAAATCCCAGCAAGCAGACGCATTACCTACACGGACCTTCACCAAGCTGGACGTTCTACGATACATAGCGAATGTATTGGCAGGAGAGCGAGCTAGCGTGAGAGTGAGGGAGAATGAGTTCATAGCAAAGCAAGGCAATGACACGGGTTCTGGATGACTGAGGCAAACTTGGTCGACTTCGAGCAGCAGGGCGTGGCCAACATGTTGCGTCTTCCCTTCCAAGACCACAAGGAAAGTGCAGAAGAAAAGAGCAAACATTGGCACAGGCTGCACGAGAAGCATGCCGATCTCAAGAGACAGACAGGGCCCGCCTGATCAGCTATTACACTTTTCCTGAAACGATTGTGCCAACGCCCATGTGCAGAACGACATGATCACTTTCCGTAGACTCCCGCTGAACCAGCACATGATGGATCCTGCAGTCGTGATCGCTAGAGTTTGTCGTGGTTGAAGTGGGGCTCGATGGGTTCGGACCTTTGCCTGTCTCTGCAAGCATTAACATTTGTCGCCGTGTGCCTGTTGTTATGTTTTGGTTTTGGTGTTTTGGGTTCTTTTGGCTCTTTTGTTGAATCTTGTTTTTGGTTGCTTTGTTGTGGTCTCCTTGTTTGGATTCTTCCTATAATTTAGGTTTTGGCAGTGGCGCAGAGCGTGGCCGTCGGCGACCGTCAATACCAGTACGAGTAACCCTTTGTCGCCATCGGTTCATGCAAAGAAGAGAATAACGAATGTGCGAAATTAACTGAAACAAAAGCAAAAGAGCGAACGAAACGAGGAACAATAAAGTTATGCCTTGTTGGAAAGGAGCGGAGCGAACCCGTTTGTTTATTGTTTCACTAAAAAGCGAGAAACAAGGAGCCACGCAACCAAAGCAGTGAAAGCGTGGCTTTTGTGTTTTGTTTAATGTTTTTTTTTCGGGCCGTTGGGCACAAGGTCAGGGTTGACGAAGTAAATACAGTACTAATGAAGAGACCCGGACGTAAGCGTGATTTCATTGTACTAAGCCGGCTCTTTTTCACCTGCATTTCTATCGCCAGTCAAAAGTTGTAATTAGTTATAAAGACTCTAGTATGTACTCTGGGAGCCAATGTTAGGAATCTCCGGAACATGAACAGCAGTCCTTAGAGCATCATGAAATAGGATAGAATCATACCTTCGTACGATCTGTTTGAAATCATGCAAGGCTTGTTTGGAGGATTTAGAAACGATTTAGTGCCCATTCGTTCAAGGATTCCGAGATGAGGTATAGCTTAGAGGTTTGTCCAGATGAGTTCTTTTACTTTCACATGTTTTCATAAACCGTTCTATAATTTCAGAATTTGGAGGTGGTGGGAAATAATCATGTACTCCACCATGATCCACTTACTCTATGATTGATCAATCAAGCAAGTCTTGTAATTACATTGTTAGTCTCTGTGTGCCCTGATTAATAACATACCAAAAGCATTTAGTCTAATGAAGTGTCAGTTCGCTTTACCATTAAACCAGAAGCATGGCCAAGATCATAACCTAGAATGAATGCATAGAAGCAGGTGGAAAGGAAATATATGCGAATATTAGCAAGTGAGAAGCGTGCGCTTTGGTTGCCCTTGCCCGATTGATCTAAGCTTCTTACTCCACTAATAGGCCGTTAGACAACCGATGTCTGTTCGTAAAACGAGCAAAGCACAGGCGCCAGATTCCGACCTCTTACCCCAGAGACCTTAGCCGCTGCAAGCGGCAGTGCTGGCCACAGGAAGAGAACTTGCGCATAGGCAGACCCCACCCGGCTCTCACTACCGGCGGCGGCGTCGTTGTCGTCTTTGAACCGGAAAAAAGCACTATTTAACAACAGACAGTGGACGATCCGCACGACGGCGATGACAGGAAGGGTGACGAGGAGGACGAGCACGGCGATGACAGTAACATAGCGATGACGTCGGTGACGGGGACCCATGCCGGCGGCGCTTACGACGACTGACTCAATCTATCATCCTCGTCTGCGACATGTCGATAACGAATGTATCTGCCGAACTATAGTACTATAGTCTTTCGTCTTTCAGCAGCTCTGACACCCCCAGCGCCAACATGGAGCTGGTGCTGAAGACAAGCGGCTTTCGCTCCCAAACCCTGACCCATCCACTGATACCCTGCTACTTGCTACTTGAAGTGACAACCAGACCGGCACTTTGGACCCTTGCATTCGCAGGACTGGGAGCAGGTCCACGGCAAAACTGCTGGACAGGCTTGGGCCAGTATCTGAACATCCTAGATTCTGCAGTCGGCGACTTCAGTTTAGAGTTTAGACTAGATTGACAAGAGATTTGCAGCCCATGTTGTAGGTCGAAGCTGGTTTCTGAATCACTCCCGAGTCCGGTGACCCCGCCTTTCCTTGGCCCCTGTGATTTCCTTCTGGTTTCTCTGCCCGCGCTTCCGAGCGCTTTGCGCATACTGGCACGCAAAGACGGGTAGGAGGATGGAGGCAGACCGACAGACCCAACCGAGCCAGAGGCCGACCCAGCGACCAACCGAGCGAAGAAACACCAACACACACAATTACTCGAAGAGATGTTGTTCGATTCGTAGAACACGCGCGCGCACGCACGCACACGCTCACGCGCACGCGCACGCACGCGCACGCGCACGCACGCGCACGCGCACGCGCACACGCACACGCGCGCACACGCGCGCACACACACACA